ATATATTCTAGATAACTTGAATGATATTTATGAGTCAGATTTTCACTATTTAGTTCTGTTCTAGGAGAGAAAAGACTCCAAATTCAAGTATATTTTATAGAGACCCACTTTTCTGTAAGCCTCAAATAGGACAAAGGCTGTGTTAGAACTTAAATTCTGAGCACTAAGTTTGCAGAAGGCTACAGTTTACAGTGAGAGCCCTAAATCCACTGTGAGTCTGAACATAGACTCCGCCTCCATTGCATTTATTCAGACCCAAAACTGGCCATGTAAAAGGTTTGGCCCTCAGCAAAATGTGTATGCTGAGATTCCTCTAGCCAGCCCAGGGAGGGGCAGCTGCATCCCGGGGCCTTGCCTGGGAAGCCCTTTCTGGAAATTGGGGTACAAGGCCTCTTGGTTATGAGTCGTGCCCTGAGCAGGATGTTCAGAGACCCCATGCTAATCCTGTGAGTTGTACTAATGTGTAATAGCATACCAAGCCCCATCATGGTGCCACCTGTAACTGTGAGAAGTTGACCTGCCACCTGTCTTGATTTTATGGCAGTTTCCTTTGTTTCCCACGTTCTGCCCAAGGGACTGACTGTAGAGCCTTTGGACACTGTTATGGGCTCCTTTCGGTGGTCTCTCCCCTCCAGATGATTTGTTTTTATCTTTGACTGGTCCTTCTCCTATTTAAGACTTATTAGAGATGATGCGATAAAATATATTTGATTGGGGATCTGTTCTTCCCTAGTATAAGACAAAACAAAAACAAATCAGCTGAATGAGCAGGGAGCCCATCAGCACAAGGCCTGCAGTGAAGTGATATTTACATTGTATCGCTCTTCTATCTATAGTATTTGTTACTCCCACCAAATGATTGGGGGGGTCTATGCAAATGGAAGATGTGAACCATGAATAGAAGGATTTTATCAGATGTGCCATTCTACTGCCTACATAAATGAGCCACCTCAGAAGCAGGGAGAGGGAGAGTCCGAGACCACCAAGAAGGAATGGTTACCAGCACAGCAAGTGCAAGATCCTTCCTACAGTGGTGGAGGCAGCAGAGGCTAGAGTGCTGAGACCATGAGACAGAGCAGAAGAGCCATGCTGAGATTAGGAAACATGGTGATGGGCTTTCCTGCCCACAGAACAATGAAAGCAGAGTGCCTTTGGGATGGAGGCTGGCTTGAAAAGTGGTGTCCTCCCTCCATGCAAGAACACTTTGTTCTAATAAACTGGCATTTCATGATGCTCCCCTTCCCAACATGATTGCTGAAGACAAAATGGGTGCAGAGCAAATGTGGTGAAGAAAGCTGATGGTGCCGGGCTATCCAAAGATATAGCATTTGGGGTCTTAAAGGCTTGAAGATAAACAAGCAGCCATCTAGTTGAGAAGCAACAAAGCCCACATGGAAGAAGCACATCAGCCTGTGTGATCATGAGGTGTTGATGGGATCAGGTATCAGGCATCAAAGAACAAAAAGTTACATCATTGTGAATGAGGGGGAGTGTGGAGTGGAGACACAAAGCCCATCTGTAGACAGTTGGACACCCCCTTACAGAAGGGTCACAAGGAAGAGATGAGCCAGTCAGGGTGCAGTGTAGCACCGATGACATATACAACTTTCCTCCAGTTCTTTAATGCTTCCTCCCCCCCAACCCCACTATCATGACCCCAATTCTACCTTACAAATCTGGCTAGAACAGAGGATGTACACTGACTGATACAGATAAGAGCTGGAAACACAGCAAATCCAGGACAGATTAAACCCCTCAGGATCAATGAGAGTAGTGATACCAGGGTGGGAAGGGGAAGGTGGGGGAGAAACAGGGAACTGATCACAATGATCTACATCTAACCCCCTCCCTGGGGGCAGACAACAGAAAAGTGGGTAAAGGGAGACATCGGGCAGTGTAAGACATTAAAAGATAATAATAATTTATAAATTATCAAGGGTTCGTGAAGGGACGGGAAATGAGGAGCTGATACAAGGGCTCAAGTAGAAAGAAAATGTTTTGAGAATGATGATGGCAACAAATGTACAAATGTTCTTGACACAATGGATGGATGTATGGATTGTGATAAGAGTTGTATGAGCCCCTAATAAAATGATTTTTTTTTTAAAGAAAAGTGGTGTCCTTTGGGCTTTTACCAGCCCTAAAGAAACTTTGGAGCACTTTGTAGGGCAGGGTAGAAGCCAAGGGGCTGTGTGACTGAGAGGCTGAGGACCACAGTCGATGGCTGCTAGCATGACTGAGAAAGAGACACTGTGGACAAATATCTGCTGTTCTGTAACCTGTTAACGTGTGACCATTGCTAGAGAATTAGAGTTCAGTGAGAGGGATGGGCATTTTTGCAATAGGATCAGGAAGGCTGGAGAGTGGAGGCTGTCTGACCTCTGCTTCACCCAAATCATCCTTTGGTCAATGTGGAGTTAGATTCCTGTTATTCTTACTGATGACCTCCACACGGGTCAGATGTGACGCCCCGCCATTTCCTCAGTATATACCACACTGGTTGGAAATTCCTAATAATCTTACTATTCATTTCCTGGTACAGGACAATCTGGTGTTATTGTCTTACCCGCGGCGATTCACTCACAGACTTTCCAACGGCCGTGTGTTAGAACAGTCAGGACCTCACCCAGTTTGTAAACTTGACTCGTATTGAGCAAAAGGGAGATCAAATGATAAGGTGCTAACTTTTAACCTAACTGCATCTGCAGCCATCCCCTTTCCAATGCAGGCTGCAGGAGAGCAAGGTCTTAATAGCCTTGAGATTTTTAAGGCGTGAGTCTGAATCTCAGCGGCAGCTTTGTTTGGGGTTATTGGGGTTATCACTAGGGATTATTGTCTTGGACTTCTCGGCATCACATGTAAAAGGTAGAATTGCATTTTCACATAGACTTTAATTCAGGATTTCAATAGGATTTTTAAAACTGAAACAGCATTTAGTCTTTTTTTCATGTGATCTTCTATTTTCAAAGTGCATCTTACATGAAGCAGTCTTAAGTTGTGTACCAGAATCTTAGGTTTCTGTGTTGTTATTTCTGTAATAGCATAAAACAGTTCTGTATATGATGTCTTCCTTCAGCATTTCTTACATTTTACTAAGCTGTGCCTGTTAAAACCATCAGGAATATTGATACACTAACGTATTGCTCCTACAGAATTATGAAATTCCATGTTGCAAAGCGGAAGTTTAAGGAAACCTTGCGTCCCTACGATGTAAAAGATGTCATTGAACAGTATTCTGCTGGCCATCTGGACATGTTATGTCGAATTAAAAGCCTTCAAACCCGGTAAGCAGTGAAAATGTCGTTCTTTGTAATGGAAGAGGCACAGAACCTAAGAGGAACTTCTTTTAGTATTGAACAGTTCTGAATTCTATGTTCCTCTTCTAATTCCATTCTACTGTTAATTCATTTGTAGTAAACAATTGGACTTTGCCTTTAACAGAGATTTTATTTAAGGATATAAATAAAAGCCTCCAACTAGACAGAGGGTCTCCATTTCCTTAGGTGTAACAGTGGGGACAATATTAATGTTCGTTTCATAGAATCATCATGAAAATTAAATGAGTTAATACACATCACTTGAACTACCTAGTAAGTCTAGCACCAAGTATTTGATACATTATCAATGATTGCTACTGAGGGCGTTTGTTCAAAATGAGAAAAGAGACCCCAGTTTAAATATCATTTACAGGGATACGTTTATTAAGTCTTAATAGGACAAAGATGAGTCATCCTGATGAGGAATACCATCAACATCAGGCCATAATGACATCGAGGAGTCTTAGGAAGGAGGCCATTTAAAAAGATATGGGAAACAAAGGAAACTATCATAAAATCATGACTGGCAGCAGGTAATTCACCACAGTTATAGGCAGGCCTATAGAAGTGCGAAAGGGATCATGGTGGTGATACGTACACGATTGCAGATTAGAAAAGGTTACAAGATTGCTTCAGAACCATCTCCAACCAAGGCAGTCACGGTATGACTCATAACTGTGACCCTGGTAACTCCAAATTCGATCACAAAGTTATTTAGCATTTCTCTGAGGATGAGACTCCTCTCCCTGGACGAGCTGGGAGATTTGTAGTAATCCCCTTGCAAAGATGCTCTGCCTATAAGGGCAAAGCTTTTCACATTGATGGTCAATGGTCAGAAAGAACTCACTGGAGACGGAATCTATTTCCTCACTGAAAATGGATTGATGGCTCCCACTGTAAACCATAGCCTTCTGCAAACCTGGTGCTCAGAATCTAACCCCTAATATATATTTGCATTGCTGCTGCTGCCACTCCTTATTGGTTTTGTTCTTTTTTTTAATCGTTGTATTGGGGGCTCATACAACTCTTATCACAATCCATCCATACATCAATTGTATAAAGCTCATTTGTACATTCGTTACCCTCGTCATTCTCAAAACATTTGCTCTCCACGTAAGCCCCTGGCATCAGCTCCTCATTTTGTTTTTGTTCTTATCTAAGTTCAAACCATCCTTCAGAAACAAGCCTAACTTTCCCCTTTATTACATGTTACCCAACTATCCGTGTCATAATGTCAATCTTTGCTGCCCTTCTCTGACCTGCCATATTTAGGGTGGGTTATGGGTTGGGCTCCTACTCACCAGCCACTCCAAGAAAGAGTGAGGCTCTGCTCTCATAAAAATTTAATCTTGGAACCCCTATATTGTCTTTGGTCTTCTTATTGATTGTCCAGCTTATGAAGTAGTTGAAAATATCATGCCTAGAATCAGACACCTCCTAGTCTTCAAAGTGATATCTTTGTTATTTAGCACCTTGTTCAACAGAATTGCCTAATGCTATGTCATTTAATTTCTTAACTGCTGCTTCTATAAGCATTGATTGTGGATCTAAGTAAAATGAAATCATTGGAAAATTCAATCTTTTCTCTGTTTATCCTGATTGTCTATTTGTCCAGTGGTGAGGATTTTTGTTTTATGCTGTTTTAGAGTACAAAAAGACCCAAAATCTCAAATGCCATTTAAGGACACCATTCATTAAGCCTAAAGCAGAACAAGGACAAAACAAGACAAAGACAGATCATCCAGATGAGGGAGATCGTTAGCACAAGGTCATGTCCAAGGGTTTATATTTAAACCAATAGTTTAAATAGGACATACGGGGCAAAGAAAACTATTACAGAAGCATGAGTAGCAGCCTATCAATATATCACAGTTATAAGCAAACTACAGACATGAAAATGGAATGTGATCGGGACAGAAGAGCTTACAAAATAGGTTCAGGGTCCTCCTGTGAAGACAGTCAGGTAGCAATCCTAGCAGGACCATCTCCATCAAGGACACAGCCAAGCAATCCCCCAAGGCAGACTCTCCGTGCTTAGGCTAGTTAGGGAAGTGGTGAGAATCTTCTTCTGATTTTAAACCATAAAGCATCTCTTTGTTCTGGTTCAACAACTGCCTCTTGGTCTATGTACAGGTTCTGCATGAGCACATTAAAGTGTTCTGGAATTCCTACTCTTTCCAGATGTTATCCATCTGACATCAGCAATGATATCCCTGGTTCACATCCTCTTCCGAATCCATCTTGAATTTCCGCCAGTTTCCTATTGATGTGCTGCTGCAACCAATTTTTAGTTACCTTCAACAAAAGTTTGCTTGGATGTGGGATTAATTATAGTATTTGAAAATAAAAATTAAAGATTTTAAACAATTTTTTTTAAACTGCTCTCAAAACACTTCCTTCTGAGCTCAGGCAATTGTTCTGTCGTCCGCACCCGTGATCAGATGATATCCTTTTCCTCTGGCAGTGTCGATCAAATCTTAGGAAAGGGGCAAATCACATCCGACAAGAAGAGTCGAGAGAAAATAACTGCGGAACATGAGACCACTGATGATGTCAGTATGCTTGGCCGGGTAGTCAAGGTTGAAAAACAGGTACAAGTCAACTACATTGGCTAACTTTTTAACCAGAATTGTAAACATCAAAATATGTTATAGGCAATTGAATATATCTTAGTGACAAATGATAATATAATGATTAATGAAGTTAAACCTTTGTGTACAGTCGTTTCTTTTGAAAATAAGACAAAACTTCCTTATAATGATGATGGCATATGGCGTGTTTGCTAATAGCCACAGAGACTGTTTTCAAGAAATCAAATTGCTCCCTCAATTTAATCAGAAATATCCCCCATATTAATTTTTAATGTTTTGTACCTTTGTGTTTCCATTTAGAATCACCTTGATACATTTAAGGCCTTCATTTCAGTATAAGTCTTTTACTAAACTATCGGAGAGGTCCTGCCCATGGTGATTGTAAAAAACAAAGCCTCCCTGTAAATTCCCCCCCCACTGTTGGACTGTATTCACTACCGGTCAGGACGGCTCTGTACTTGACATTCAGTACTTATTTACTTGTGTCCACACGCTCTGTTTCCGTTTTGAATCCGAGAGGTTGAGGTCCATTCTTACTAGCCCTTCAGACTCATGTGTACTCGTTTTGCCGGCTTTTTAGGTCCAGTCCATTGAGTCCAAACTGGACTGCCTACTCGACATCTATCAACAGGTCCTCCGGAAGGGCTCGGCCTCGGCCCTCACCTTGGCTTCATTCCAGATCCCACCTTTTGAATGTGAGCAGACCTCTGACTATCAAAGCCCTGTGGACAGCAAAGACCTATCCAGTTCCGCGCACAACAGTGGCTGCTTATCTAGATCAACGAGTGCCAACATCTCCCGGGGCCTGCAGTTCATTCTGACGCCAAACGAGTTCAGCACTCAGGCTTTCTACGCGCTTAGCCCTACTATGCACAGCCAAGCCACACAGGTGCCGATGAGTCAAAGCGACGGCTCCACAGTGGCGGCCACCAACAACATTGCAAACCAAATCAATGTGGCCCCCAAGCCAGCAGCCCCAACAACTTTGCAGATCCCACCTCCTCTCCCAGCCATCAAGCATCTGCCCAGGCCAGAACCCCTGCATTCAAACCCCGCCGGCTTACAGGAAAGCATTTCTGACGTCACCACCTGCCTTGTTGCCTCCAAGGAAAATGTTCAGGTTGCACAGTCCAATCTGACCAAGGACCGTTCTCTGAGGAAAAGTTTTGACATGGGAGGAGAAACTCTGTTGTCTGTCCACCCCATGGTGCCGAAGGATTTGGGCAAATCTTTGTCTGTACAAAACCTGATCAGGTCAACAGAGGAACTGAATATACAGCTTTCAGGGAGTGAGTCAAGTGGCTCCAGAGGCAGCCAAGATTTGTACCCTAAATGGCGGGAATCCAAATTGTTTATAACTGATGAAGAGGTGGGTCCAGAGGAGACCGAGACAGACACTTTTGACGCCGCGCTGCAGCCTGCCAGGGAGGCTGCCTTTGCTTCAGACGCTCTAAGGACTGGAAGATCCCGCTCATCTCAAAGCATCTGTAAGGCAGGAGAGAGCACCGATGCGCTCAGCTTGCCTCATGTCAAACTGAAATAAGTTGGTTTCGTTTTCTGTCTAGGCATAGCAATTCCTTTAGCCATACATATCATTGCATGAACTATTTTGAAAGCCCTTCTAACAAGTTGAAATTGCAAGAGTCAGGAAGAACATGAGAGGCAGTTTCTAAGCCTGTTGTCTTTCCATTGCATGAAAATGCATGTTTAGGGATGGCTGAAATTGCAAGGTACATCAACCTTAGCCCTCTCGTTTAGTAATGTACCTTGAATTTAAAATTCGGAGAAGCCAAACACTGCTAGTGCTAGGGGGCGTCGGCAAATACCAAGATTGGGTCATTCCGAAGATGTAACAATTTGTTTTGAAACTTCAGGCATTTCTGCTTCGCAGCTCAATACAAAATACATTTGCAAAATTAGACCATGATGCGTATTTAAACACAACAGCTTTCAGCAGCTGCAAGCCAAGGTATCGAGTAAAGCTGAATTGGGGAATAAGAGAAATGGCTGCTAATAATGTGAGGTAAATTAGACAACTCGTTCCTATTCAGTCATTTTATTATCTGTGTGATTTGAATGTCAATTCGTGTGCTTTCGGTGATTCGGCACTGTGATGAGCTGTTTTGCACATCATTTTCATATTGTTCTTTAAGAGGAAAATATTCTTCAATTGGAAAACGTGCAAATACTGAAATTCAGGACCAGTGGGGCAAACAAACGGTGTGATATGTTTGACGTTCCGAAAACATATTCCCTGGTGGCTCGCCAACTTTCTAAGTGGCCATCTTCTGCACAGACAGGTGAGGCAGCATGACTGGATTGATATCTCAGCACTGGGCCAGCCCCAGGGGGAGGGTGAAAAGCTATGGGTAGACCCTGGAGAATGGATCATGGGAGTGAGACTGAAAGGGGAAGAGGCTTCAGTAAGCTTTACTAGATGCAGAAACCACACCGAGAAGGAGAAAATAAAGTGGCTTCCCTCCCGACAGGCACTGAAAAGGAGAGAAACAAAACTAACATGGAATAACCAGGCTTTAAAAAAAATAAGTATTGCCAGAAGAATCAATTACATAAACATCGCTTATTCTTACATAGAGACCCAGAATTTCAAAAGTGCTTATTTTTTTAACATGCCCGTAAATGTCTTTTGCTCCTCACACTCATCTAGTAGGCTCCGGCTCATAGGGAACCAATGGGACAATGTAGAACTGCCCCCTGGGGCAGTTACTCCTGTGAATCTTTACTGGAGCAGAAAGCCTTGTCTTTGTCCATCTCAAGCTGTTACGCAGGACCCTCTGCACTGGAAAGGTGCCGTAAATACTTTGACTTACGGTGGCAGCAAAAGAAGTTTAGGAGGGAGAGCTTGACTCCTGAATCAGGGTAGCACAGAGTCTTCTGACTTCCAAAGTGCTCCAGCTGTCAGGGGCTGAGCAGGGCTTAAACACGACAATGCCAGAAACGAAACGGAAAACATATCCTGATGGGTTAACTCAAGTAAGTTTTTCTGATAGGCTATTTTGTGTGAATCAGCAAGGACAGACATCCACACTTTCCTATGTTGTTTTAGGGAACAAAAGAGACTCCCAATCTCAAATATAACTCAAATAGTATTCAGTCTTAAAAGGGACAAAGGCAATACAAAGACACAAACACATCATCCAGATGTTGGAGTCTAGGAGCACAAGATCAAAATGGCACCGGAGGATTCACAGGACACTAGTTAAATAAAGCATGGGACAAAGGAAACTGAAAATTCATGAGTGGGGCTATCAGTGCATCACAGTTTTAGGTGAGACTACTTACAGAAACAGGAACAAGGCCCCGATTGGGACACATACATTATATTAGTTAGAAGGGTTTACAAGATTGATTCAGGGCCTTCTAACCTAGGCAGTGCAGGTGAGACTCCTGACTATGTGATCCCAGTACAGTAAGCCATCTCCATTAAGGACACACTCATGTCAGCCCTGAAGAGAGACTGCCCTTCCCTGAGCTACCTGGATGGAGGCAATCCACTTTCCCAGGCTCTCTGCTTGAGGGCAGGATTATCCACAGTCTTTGGTGAATAAGAAAGACTCCATGGAGGTGTCATCTAAGTGGGGACCCTGCAAATGGATTTGGGGCTGCCTCTGCCATCCACAGCCTTTCGCACACCAGGTGCTCAGAATTTAAGCTTCAGTACAACAGAAACAACAAGCCTATCATCTAATGTGCTTTCCACCACATTCTTGCTGAGGGCCACTGGCGCCTCCCGGGCTTACCCAGCAGCAGTTATGGGGCACCTTTTCAGAAGTAGAGCCTAGGGCAAGATGGAGTTGGTGGCAGACCTTCTTTAAGCCATTTTGGTCATGCCAAATACTCCGGATGTTGGAGGACCCTCATTCAAAGGCTTAAATTAAGTTTCTTTTACTTTTTAGACTATAATGAACATTTTATATTTCCTCTAAGAATATTGCCCCAAATCTGAAATTACCAGGCCAAGTGCCACCGTCAGGGTCAATCAAAACACTTCATAAAGTAGAGCAACAGACAGAATAAGGGAAAACAAATTGAAAAGCATATTTACCGGAAAGCAAGCACTACTACTTGCTTGTTAGAAACCAATCTAGCTATCTCAGATCACCAGAACACCAACCCAAGTAATGGCATTCTAAAGACAAGGAGACAAGGGGTGTCGTTCCAATTCGGCTAAAACCAGCCAGAGGAAAAGCATTAGCAGGCGTTCGCACTGTCTTCAGGACAGTTTCTCAGCCATGAGGGAGAGTAAGCATGGATTTCCACCGGGGTGCTCCACAGAGGGAAGGAAGGAAAGTGTGCAAATGAGACTAGCTCTCAGGTTGCAAAGAGCCCTTGCGGAACAGACTCGGTGAAGCATTGGGCTGCTAGCCCAGAGGCCGGTGCTTAGAACCGAGCAGCTGTTCCTCGGGAGAAAGATGCCGCTTCCGTAAAGATTCACGACCTTGGACCCCCTCCTCCATCCCCTTGGGTCACCGTCTGAATTGACTTGACAGGAGTGAATGTGGTTCGGTTTTCTTAAGGCCCAATGCCAGCAGACTTTCTTCACTGTTGAATCTCCGTGGTTCCCTGCCCCAGTTTTGCTTCTAAACTTCACGAGGCTTTAACTAGTGTCTCCCCCCAAGGAAATCTGCTCCCCTCTCTAACGAGGTGTTTAGGAGGTGTTGCTCAGCCTTCTCAAATCCTTTCCTCTTGTGCTAAGCACTGAAACATTTCCTCTCCTCACCTACCTGCGTCCCAGTGCCCTCCCCTGGAGTAGATCATGCAGAGTCTTCGTGGCTGCTGGAGAGCTACAGAGGCTGGAGTCTATTGTCTCCACTCCAATTATAAAGGTCTTGTCAAGTTTTTAGTAAATTATTCAATGAGCATGCGCAAATACATACAAACACACCCCTCCACTGACCTAACCTGAGATATCTGCCACGCGCTCAGCCAGGCTCTCTGTAACTAGGCGCTGAGGTAGGAGGCCGTCACTTTCAGGTAGCACAGCCTCTTGGACACATTGTCCGGAGTCGAGCCCCACTGGCAGCAGGAATTCTGAATGTATTGGCGTCTTGAGTCCTCAAAGACCCCAAACCCAGGCAGTTCATCCAACACTGCTAAGGACAGAAGACTGGAAAGCAAAGCCTAAACGCATCACTGCAGTCTTAATCATAGCAAAGTGTGAGAAACCACGTTGTGAAAACTTTTATACAGGAAGCCATTTTGCGTCTGTCATTCTCCAGCACAGTCTTAGATGTCAAAGGAGAGTTGTAGATTCTAAAAACTGTCTGTAGTCTTATTCTCTATGAAAATGTGAGGGGGGTCTTCCATTTACCCTTGGCAAAATCCCAAGGGTCAGTCCCAAGTGGTGTCTTGAAGCACAGTTCTGTGGAGCACTGGAGAGCCATGTGCTTTTGTGCAGTTCGAATCTGCCTGCCTTCTACAGTATGTCGGGTTGATCAAGCTAACATTTAATGGCAAACATCCCCGATAGAGGTGAACTAAGCTTTTTTTTTTCTTTGCTATGTCTGATCTAAACGTTTGCATTTTGTCCATTTAAATCAATATCTGTGGACCTCATGTTTTGTTTAAAGATAGTAAGCCACTTTATTGAGTTTTTTTAAATCTTTTTCTCCTGTTCTAAGGTGCCTTTCTCACCTCCCATTGACTCAGTAATTCTGAAAGTTCTTAATTTGCAGGTAAAACAAGTTATCATCTCTATTAGAGAGGAGGAAAAGAGGCACAAAATGACTAATTTTCATGCCCACTTGTAAAGCAAAACATTAAGATATAATGAAACCCAGTTAACTAAGGTAATCTCTTTGTTCAATCATATTGAGGAACCGTCATAAATATTCATTTATTTTTCCGGAAGCTTTTTTTTTTGCCTTAAATGACATGGTTGTGTTTTTATAAGAGAAATTTCATATAATTTCGTGAGTTCAAGTGAGCAGTTCTAAAAGTCATGTACGACAATACAATTATCTGTTTCCTGAAAAATAAAGAAATCAAGACTATCATATCCATTTCAAGCTACGGTTAAAATGTAATTTCCTTTGCTCTCTTACTGAGATTATTTGTTTTAAAGTAAAACATTAAAAACCTGTCTATAAACAGCTCGTGTGACTACTTTATCTGGAACTTCTGGTTGGTTTTGAATTGACTGGTTGGAGCCAACCAAACTGACTATGTACAGATTGGGGACTGGGGGAGTTTGGAAATGTTTTTTAAAGGTATAATAAGAAAAATTACTTTAATTCAATATTGGTCAAATCTCAGATGCCAGCTCACAAGAACTTTGTATTAGCTATAATAAAAGGTTTATTAAACAAGTGATAAGAAATGAGGAAGAGGCAGGCGCCCAAATGCTATGATCTCTGCCTACTCAACACTTCCACTCTTAGCACCACCCAGCTCTCCCGTGACACAAGAGAACTTCTGCTCCACAGTGGTGGTTCCTCCTTCTTCCCTGAAGACACCCTTGCTCCAGGTTAGTTTCATTCTGTTCAACGTAATGTCCAGGGGAACAGGCATTTTAAAGGAGGGAGAACGAAAAAGTATCATCTAGGGGGAGCGAAGAAAGGAGTTCTCACACAATCCTCATGAGAACAAACAAGTACGCGCTTATTTGATGAAAATTCTGTGTGGAACGTGCTTACTAGACCAACTTGAAAGTACTTTCAAATGGGCTTGCAGCTTCCTCAGCAATAGCTCACAAAGCAAAGGACAATCTGAAGATCCTTGCTGTTGTTCAGGGCTGGTTCCTAGTGACCCTGTGTGCAGAACGAAGCGCTGTCCAGCCCCAAGCCATCCTCCTAATCGTCTGCTTGAGCCCACTGGGGCAGCCACTGGGTCAAGCCATCTCGTTGAGTCTTCCTTTTCCCACTGTCCTTCTACTTTTCCAAGCATCTTGTCTTTTTTCAGGGACTGATCTCCCCTGAAAATATGTCCAAAGTATATGAGATGAAGTCTTGCCATCCTTACATCTAAGGAGCGTTAGGCTATACTTCTTCTTTTTTTTTTTTTTTAGGCTATACTTCTTCCAAGACAGATTTGTTTGTTCTTTTGACAGCCATGGTGAATATATTTACAACTGTTACTCCACCACAGTTGCCTCCTAATAATGGGAGGATGATACCAACAGGTGCTATTTTGTAGACTTGGCAAATAATCATGATTACATGATTATTATGTAATCATCCTCTATTTTGTGATATGATGTAATTATACTATGTTTTGAAAATTCTAACCTCTGTGGAGTTAAAATGGATGTCAAAAGAGTTTGAAACATGCTTTTAATCAGAGAGAAGCTAAGGCGAATGGAAGAAATTATGAAGTAAAAGAGCTGAACAGAAAATTTCAAACAGCAGCTTCAGTAGACAAAGTAAAGTATTAGAATAAAATGTGCAAACAGCTGGAGTTAGCAAGCCACACACACACACACACACACACACTCACACACACACTCACACTCAGCATATATCAAGCTGAAATGACACAAAAGCTCAAGCCTGGCGTTGCTATAAAAGGACCCTTGGCATTGTCCTGGTTACATGTTAGACTGCTAACTGTAAGATCAGCAGTTTAAAACCACCAGCCCCTCCTCGTGAGAAAGATGGAACTTTCTACTCCTATAAAGTAGTACAGCCTTGCAAACCCAGTTCAACCCTGTCCTGTACGGTTGCTATGAGTCAGTATATTCACTCGACACAAGTCAGTTTGTTTTGGTTTTGAGTTGCCACAGTAAAAGATTACTGATTTGACGGAGAATAAATAAAAATTAGACACGTCTGTAGAGAATGCAGAAAACCATTACCACAAGGACAGAAGAGTCTGCAGTGAGGTGCAGCTCCTTTGGACTTTGGTTCTTCTACTGAGAACTTTCTAGACTCAGGAGATGATGATAAGACATAAGCAGGCCTCCAAGGGTGCTGGACCCACAGAGTTTTAAAGAAAAAAGGACCTTCTCCCAGAAAAGCCTTCTCCTAGATCAGGGATGGGCATCTTTTCTCTGCCGAGGGCCATTTAGTAAGTGCAGCACCATTCACGGGCCATAGTGGTCAGACATGTGATGGCTCCGACTGCTTTTCTTTGGTGAGCTGTGTGCTGTTGACTGATGTGGATGGTTTTGCGGGCCTTATGCAGCCTCTAGGGGCGACTTTTTTTTTTTCAGGCACCATATTTTTTATTATTAGCCCACCTTCCTGCCCTCTTTTAACACATTGTAAACAAAATTGACCTTTTTTGACCCAGAGCTGTGACAGGAACCAGCATATTACCAACATAGGGGCAGACTGACACCTCTTCTCATGTGTTTTTCTGGCCCCTCCCAAACTATAGATGTCACTTCTCTTGTCTGTCCTTGACAAATCTATTTTAACCCCTGCAAAATAGGGACAAGTAGTACCGACCTCACTGTTCTGAGGCTGACGAGAATGTCCATCACACAGCTTGGGGCCTAGGAGCATTCACACTCGCACAGCGCCCTGCTGCCCTTTGAGCTCTCCCTGTTATCCGTCACGGGCCCAGGAACCAGTTAGCTGTACACCAAGCACGTGACCTGGGTCCCTAAGACCAGGTGAGGACTAGATGTAACGTGCATGGGCTTGACCGCTGTTGCCAACTCCAGCCTAAAGACTAAGCAAGCAGGTCATGGCTCCCTGGGGGTGTCTCCCGCACACCTCCCTCCATCATGACCGGCGCCTTCAGAGGTGTTTCTCAATACCCCTTGCCACACTGGGAACAGTCTAGGGGTCAAGTGGGGGGCCAATGACAAGCCAGTCAAATTAGTGCCATGTGTTCTCGGGGAAAACTCAGCCAAGACATGCTCATGGCATTGTTTATTTCATCAGATATCATTGCCAGTACATGTAAGAGATTTGGGAGGATCCGACGATGAAGGAGCTGTCCATTGAAGCCAGGAGAGAGACATCCCCACAATCAGGGCTTCTAAAGAAGGGTACAAAAGCAAGACTCCTGAACTTGGATGATGAGGGGCTGCCTTGTGACTTCCTGCTGTACCTGGTGACCTGGAATCCAGGTGAGGTGGAAGACAAAACAACAGAGGGAGCTAGTGAGTGAGAGTGCCAGGCTGCTGAGCAGGGCCTTGCCTGGGTTCCTAAGGAAAGCTATCGCCCCACCCCCCAACCCCCACCCAGGTTTGCCTGGTCCACCCTCCCGCCACACCTGTGTGTTCTCCACCAACTCTCCCTCTAAGGACAGAAAAGAGATTTGCAGTTCCAGGCCTATGGGCACCCTGTCTCAATAAGGTGCTCGGGAAGAACACCAAGTCCCCTTCTGGAGCAATGAGGTTCTGTTACTAAGCTATATCCCCACAGTTCAGGCAGAGTCACCTACCTGGTGCTTGAGCTTCCAAGTCCAGGCTTCCCAACTGCAGGGCCAAGCCCCTCAGCCACCATCTTCTGCAATTTGGTCTTGCTACCACTAAGCTCCTCTGGTCCTGGACCGTGGACCCCCTCTCCTGTTGTCTGAGGGTGCAGCTGTGTTCCTCCTCTTGCCAAAGATCAGAGTCTGAGGAGTCTGTACCTGGTGGACAGTTGGTAGGAGGGACCAACATAAACCCCTAGCCCCGCTGGGTGGCAGAGTAGAGAGTAGGACAGATGGGATGGGAAAGTCTAGGAAGGCTAAGGCCAAGGGAGATGGGGAACTGAAGAAAGAACCTGGGAAAGAACCACTCACCAGAGTTCAGCTCCTTCATCTCCTCCTCCTCCTGCAAGTCAAACACCAGTGGAGTCAGAAAGTTTCCAGGGATGAGCCACTGATACTTCTTTCTGTAGGCTCTGTTTCCACCACTCTCTCTCTCCCTGTATTCCCAAACTCTCCCTTTATTCCCAAGAGGAATGGAATGAGGCAAGTTGCAGCCCTAGGCCAGGGCAACCTATTTATAAAGAACTCAAAGAAAATCAAGAGCAAGCCACGCCTTATGCTAAACAGTGATGGTTTTAGGACTTCCTGCCTTAGGCAACTGTGCTTCCTGGGGAGGAGCATAATCCACAGGGAGCTTCATCCTGTGACACTAAGCACCATGACTACATCAGTGGGGACTCCTCTGACTGACACTGATGTCCAGGAAGCTAGGGTTTCCTTCAGCCCAATTTCATAGGCACCTTGAGGGATCTACACGAACCAAGAGAGTCGTTGAGGGTTGGAAGTGGAGAACGGGAAGAGGACAGATACCACCCTGCCGATCTCTTACCTGGGACATTGAGTAGTCAAAAGAAATGGTGTTTATAATTTTGTGTCTCAAGCAAGGTGCCACAGACAACACAGGACCCGAACGATCTTCTCTTAGTAAGTTGGAGCTGTGGTTCTGAGGGAAGCTCCAGGAAGCAGAGACCAGTCCTCTGCAGGGGGTGAGGGTGGTACTAGACAGCTTTCTCTGTAGCTTGGACCAGGAACAGGGGAGGAATCGTGTTGCCTTGATTAGTGTCCTGTACAAGGTGCCTATCTCAAGTTAGCAGAGTGGATTACAGGTTGTGTTAAGGAAAACGTTTATGACCACAGATGTTTTCCAAAGCAACAAAGACAACACAACCAAAGATATGCTCATGGGACTGCTTATTTTACTGGTTATTTTTGTCAGTATGGACACAGCTAGGAGAGGTCAGAGAACCAAATGGCGTAGG